CATATACCATGTAACCCAGGGTTCCAGCACAGGGGAAATAAAGCTTCAAAACCTCTGGCTATAAAAAATTGTGGGGGGCACAGTGGCAGGAGAAACTCCCAGTCTCACAGGAGCATCCGCTGGAGAGACCTACAGGGTCCTAGAACATACACAAACCCACCCACCCGGGAATCAGCACCAGAGGGGACCACGTTGCTTGTGGGTAGCATGGGAAGTAACTGAAAGCTGGTGGAGAGCCAAACAAGCAGCATTGTTCCCTCTCTGATCCCTTCCCCACATACAGCACCAAAGCACAGAGAAGTGGCTTGCCCTGCCCTGGTGAACACCTAAGGCTCTGCCCCTTAAAATGTAACAGGTGTGCCAAGACAAAAAAATATGGCCTAAATGAAAGAACAGGTCAAGACACCAGAAAAAATATAACTCAGCCATGAAGATATAGCCAACCTATCAGATGTAAAGTTCAAAACACTGTTAATCAGGATGATCACAGAAATGATTGAATACGGATACAAAAGAAAGGAAGAAGTGAAGGCTATGCAAAGTGAAATAAAGAAAAATATACAGGGAACCAATTGTGAAGGGAAGGAAGCTGGGACTCAGATCAATGATTTGGAGCAGAAGGAAGAGATAAACATTCAACTGGAACAGAATTAAGAAACAAGAATTCAAAAAATTGAGATTTATGAACCTCTGGGACAACTTTAAACATTCTTATATCCAAATCATAGGGTTGCCAGAGGAGAAGAGGAAGAGCAAGAAATTGAAAACTTATTTGAAAAAATAATGAAAGAAACCTTCCCCAATCTGGTGAAGGAAATAGACTTCCAGGAAGTCCAGGAAGCTCAGAGAGTCCCAAAGAGGTTGGACCCAAGGAAGCACACACCAAGGCACATCATAATTACATCACTCAAGACTAAAGATAAGGGGAGAATCTTAAATGCAGCAAGAGAAAAGGAGCCAGTCACCCACACAGGAGTTCCCTTAAGACTATCAACTGATTTCTCAAAAGAAACTTTACAGGCAAGAAGGGCTGGAAAGAAGTATTCAAAGTCATAAAAGACAAGGACCTACATCCAAGATTACTCTATCCAGTAAAGCTGTCATTTAGAATGGAAGGGCATATAAAATGTTTCCCAGATAAGGTCAAGTTAAAGGAGTTCATCATCACCAAGCCCTTATATGACATGTTAAAGGGACTTATCTAAGAAAAAGGAGATCAAAACTATGAACAGTAAAATGACAACAAACTCACAACTATCAACAACTGAGCCTAAAATAAAAACAAAAACAAACTAAGCAAACAACTAGAATAGGAACAGAATCGCAGAAATGGAGATCACATGGAGGGTCATCGGAAGGAGGGGAATGGGGGAGAAATGGGGAAAAGGTACAGGAAACAAAACACAAATGGTAGGTACAAAACAGACAGGGGGAGGTTAAGAATAGTATAGAAAATGGAGAAGCCAAAGAACTTACATGTATGACCCATGGACCTGAACTAAGGGTCAGGGAGGAATGCTGGTGGGAGAGGCGGTGCAGGGCAGAGGAGAAAAAAGGGGAGTAATAACATAATCAATAAATACACTTTAAAAAAAAGTAAGTACAAATTGGTAGGTAGAAAATAGACAGGGGGATGGTAAGAACAGTATAGGAAATAGAGAAGCCAAAGAACTAACATGCATAACCCATGGACCTGAACTAACGGTACGGGGGTGGCTGGAGGGAATGGAGGTACCAGGTGAAGGGGAGCAAAGGGTGAAAAATTAGGACAACTGTAATAGCTAAATCAATAAAATACACCTAAAAGAGAAGAACAGAATCCCTCTGGCCATGGAAGGTCAATTTTTGCTGGGAGTTGACCTGCTCCTATGTTCTGTGGAGTGTATTGCCACTTAATAAGTGTTCTTTCTCCCTTTCTGCTATAAATTTGTGTGTTTGGTTCAATTCATTGCTCATGATCAGCAAGAACCTGGTTACCTGTGCCCACCTGCAACACTATTATCATTCACTGATAGCTGTAATTCTGAAAAGCCATTTTCAATCTGTAAGTTTTTTCACTGAGAAAACATTTTAATTTATTAAAGAAAACAAGTCAACAAGCTTTTTTACTCTGTACTGCCTCTGCCAAAAGTTTACAACAGTAATAGCTCTGTAGAGACAGGTTTATGTAGGTGAAATGTGCTTTTGAGGGACAATTGGAAGGAGGGTTATGCTCAATGAATAACTCATTCACACTGACTGCAGCCATGTTTATGGAAACGATGGAGGACATTCAATTGAAAACTGTCTTTTTATACTGTATAATGACAGAAGAAAATCCTGCAGGAGAAGAAGCCAGTTTAGCTACACTGGTTTCATGGATGTAAAGAAAGGCAATATTTCTAAGATCAATAAGTAAACAAGATTTTCATGCCAGTTAATCTGTATGTTTAGAGCACTCAACTCAATTTCAAAATCAGCATATACTTTTACAGGAAGTACTACTTTTTTTATATAACTAGTAGAAGACTGATTTCTCCCCACTTTCAATGATGTGAATCAACTTGCCACTGACTTAAACCAAGAAAGTATTTCTTTGACTGCTGGTGCAAGGGGGTAAACTACTAAAGGTGTGTTTTAAACATAGCATTTCACTCTGTAACTGCCTTATTTTAATCTCCTATAAATTGGACATAAAGTGAACATGGCAAAGGATTTTATTTTTCTCTTGTCATAAAATTTAAACTGTAAGAATAACCTGCCTGCACCTAAAGGATGATACTGATTCTCCAAATACTCCAAGTCAGCCAATCAACTTGGTTAAATTTGGTCTCAATAGTTTGCAGTGACAAAAAAAGGAGTAAAACGTAAAATGCTAATAATACTAAATGTGCTTTGTCTCCTCAACTACTACTACTCTAAAACAACAACTTTCAAGCACTAAGGAGGAACAAAGACCATGCAATACAATGGCTGTGAAATTTTAATATTTAGTATTAAATGAAATTAATACTACTATACTGAAAGCTAAAATGAATAATTCATATTAAAAATGGTTGGGACACTTTGCTATCCTTTATAAAGTATTTTGTGTTATTTTGTCTATGCAAAGAAATTTGAAGAAATTAAAAAAACTTTATATTAAATAAGACATAATCAACATAGACATAAGGGTGGCCATTCTTTATGTAAGCAGGTGGGAAAAACTAGGCAACTTTAAGGAATTAGTAATTGAAGGGAACTGCTCTATTATATGCACTGAGTTGATAACATGCCCATTAACTGTAGTACAGAGCAACAAGAATGCTTTTTCAACCTAAGTGTTCTCTTTAGGGTTCTCTCTGTGGTTTCTAATGCTAGGGAAGTAATTAGCATTCACTTTTCAGAAGTAATATTTCACGTTTTTATGGAGTACACATCTTTTATGTTCATCACAAATCACCAAATAACAAACTAAAACCAGCTTATTCAACTGTAAGGCGTCAAAAAATAACAAGTTTAAATAAATAACATTAAAGTTGAAAAATTTTCTCGCTGTCTTAGGAATACTTGCCTCCACCCAAGTTTTTTGTCCAAATAACATGTGATAAATAAAAAAAATCTTCTAAGTCTCATCCACCAACACTTCAATGCTAAAAGACAATGCTTACTGTCCTTAATTTGGATTGAGAGCTTTTCCTAGAGTTACTTCTCAGCAAATGTTACCAGGTGAAATATAAATTCCTTTCATTATGGCCTATAGGTAAAACAATAGCTAAGAAAATAACCATCTTGTGATTCAAATGACTTTAAAACAACTTAAGTTATGTCTATAGGATTATAAATTAAGAAATATCACCTCTGAGAATCAATCCAGCAGGCCCACATACTCGTTGATTAAACTGACATATTACTCAATATGGCCAAAGAACAATCAAGAGACTAACACGCATTTACCTCTTCCTTTTTATTCCCATTATAAAGAAGTAATATTAGAATTAGGAGGTATAAAAATATTTATTCACCAAAATTAGTCCAATGGCTTTCCATCATACTTAGAATAAAATATCGATACAAAGAACATATGCCCCAATGTCACCTGCCTCCCAGCTACTTTCTACTGTCATCTCTCAACCATTGACCTCACAATCAGCACACGCCAGACAGCAGCCTTCCTGCAGGTCCAGAGTACACCAGGCGCATTCAGGACATTGGCTGCTTTCTTTGCCTGGAATGCTTTTCCCCTGCTTATCTTCATTCAGATCTGTGTAAATATTATTTTCTCATATAAAACTTCATGATTACTGTACCTAATGCAACATTGCATTGCCGTCTATTTCTTTAATAGCTCATATGACTCCTTGATGTTATATTTCACTTTCTGCATCTCACCCCACCAAAATGGGCAGGAGCTTGCTTTGTTCAATGATGAACCCCTAGTGCCAAGAACAGTGCCTGCCACCTATGAACATGCTCAGTAAATGTGGAAAATCAATTAAAAAATTTTAAAATCTACTTAAACCACAAATTTTGGATTGTGTATTATGGGTCAGATACTCTAAACTCTAGATATGCAGACAATCTACCATCATCTCCACTCTCAGGAATCTAAGTAGAAGGTAGAGACACAAATATGTAAAACAAAGTGTTATACTTTGATAATACATAAAGAATAATATATTAGGAAGGAGAAGGCTCTTGCAGTCACAGTGGACTAAAAATAGGCCATTGTCTTTAATTAGATCATTGATGACCATAACCAAATGTGTTCTTAATAGCAGAGGTAGACTACACTTAATTAAAAAGAGCACAAGTAAGGAATAAACAATCTTCACAATTTTTTGAAGAACTGATTTATCAAATAGCATTTTTATTCTAAAAAATTGAAAGATTAATATTGGAGAATTACAACTTCATCTCAGGTGCTATTAATCTTTTCATACAATTACATACCATATGTGCTTTATACTTTTTAGGCTGTGTAACCATTAATAGTAAATTGGCATAGAGCTAAATTAAAAGAAGCACAAAACATTCATTACCTGAATTTCTAAAGTCATTCTGTCAATCTCATCTCGTTGGCTATCTATTATCTAAAACACAGAAAATATATTAGTCTGAATCAAAATTTTTCCATTGTTTTTTAAAAGTATCAATATTTCAAGAAAACAAAGATAATCACAGGGAATTATGAATTTTTTAATAATCAGGATGTAACTTTTTAAATAAAATATTCGTAACAAGTATCCCTTAAATAGCCACATGATTTGGATCACACATATATCAAAATTACAAAAATTCCCCTCTACTTCTTGATAAAAATTTTCTCTAATGAAATTTATAAAAATAACTTTGGAACAGACTTTGAATAATTTAGGAAGGAAAAAAACAACCATTTGTTTTTACTGGTAAGTAATGTAATTTCTTGAGTTTGACTATTATTTGAATGTATTTAAATTGTTATTTTCTTTCCAAATAAAAATATTCAAACTAAAATTTCTATCAGCTAGTAAGTACTGGCAAAAACATAAATCAACTAACTATGAATTATTTATCTAGACACACATATCCACATAGTATAGATTTCATATTTATTATCAAAGATATGTACTGACCTTGCTAGCATTCTCATTTTGTTCTCTCAGATTATCATTTTCATTCTGAAGTTGTTTTGCATCTAACATAGGAAGGCGAATTCCATCTTCAAGGCATCTTTCTACCTTTTGCTGCAAACTGTTTTAGAAAGAGAATTATATAAAGAAAATAAGCTCTATGTGCTAACTTTGGTAGAAGACTTCAACATAACGAAGCCCCTTCTTAGGGTCTATAACATTTTTTAATCAGGCAATAATCAAGACCTACAGACAGTATATGAATAAGTTTGAGTACCTATATTTCATATAAGTAAGAAATATATAGGAAGCTGATTATATTTTCAGGAATGAGACCAGAGTCAAGAGTTGCTTAGTACGTAACATCTTTAGGCCCTCATTATCCTAATCTGAGCTCCGGAATCTAAACCTTCTTCTTTACCTCTCCCTGCCAAAAGCAGAGTTACTTGGTTAAGATGGTTGTGGTAGGCAGCCTAGGAATATGAACACTTATTTTTGCCCTTCATTCTGAGCTCGCAAAAGTTTGTAAAGATAGTTGTTGCCTAAACCAGCAGAATTACATTTCTCCTTCATTAATAAGAACAGCAATCTGTTATGCGAGGTCTGTCCAGAATAAATCCAGCCATTGTTAATATAATGAAAATGGCTTGCACAACACCAGTGTAAACTGGCCTCCAAGGAGAGTGGACTGGAATGTGCATGTGTGAACAATGATGGCTTCACTGTACTACTCAACGGTAGAAGCTGTTGAGTGGGCATGTGCACTGTGTGGCCTTCACATTCAAAATGACTGAATGAGTAGAGCAACAAATATGTATCAAATATTGCATTAGATTTCAACATTCCTCTGTGGAAAATATTTGGATGATTCAGAAGTCTGCGGCTATTGGTAACTGGTGATTGGCAGCTCCATCATACCAATATGCCCGCTCATGCATCACATCTTGTGCAGAGTTTTTTGGCAGAAACATCAAATCATCCAGGTGACTCACCAGCCCCTAAAGCCCAGATTTGGCGCCCTGCGATTTCTGGAAATTCCCAAAACTAAAATCACCTTTGAAAGAGAAGAGATTTCAGACTGTTGATGCGATTCAGGAAAATACGATGGGGCAGCTGATGGTGATTGAGAGAACTGTGTGAGGTCCCAAGATGCTAAATTTGAAGGGGACTGAGGCATCACTGTTCTATGTACAAAGTTTCTTGTATCTTGTATCTTCTTCAATAAATGTCTCTATTTTTCACATCACATGGATGGATAGCTTCTGGACAGACTTTGTACTTATTACTTGATCTAACAGTTTCTCATGCTATCCATGGAACAGAGTTGTATTTTAGAAGAGGAAACGACAAAAGACACTCTGGTACATCAAGGATAAAAGGATAAAGGAGAGGACAGTATTATCCCTGAGAAAAGAAAAATAGTCATGTTTGGGTTAAAAGGATGTAGAGCATTTACAATAATGACTAAAACCAAAATAGAATAACAAGATACCTAGGAACAGCTCTACTTTAGCTTGTGATCATACTCAAGAGTTGCTGAGTACTAAAAGAAATAGACTTTATCTTATTTGGGTTTTGATATTTTCATTATTTTTCTTCTTTCAAATATTATGGCTATTCTGTGGTTTCTCTGTCTTTCAAAAAGAAAAGGAAATAAATTTAAAAAATAAAAGGAGCTTTTGAGAGCTTGCTTCCTGACAGTGTCCACAGTTTGGCTCAAATAAACACTTACTAAAATTCAAAATGAAAAAAGAAGAAGAAATACCATATCCACACTGTGGGCAAAGAATGGACAGCACTAATGATACAATAAGGGCTTCTGATGTGTTGGTAAATAATGGCACCAAAGAAGTTTTAATGTATTACAAATGGAGCATACTGCTTTGTAATATATTACTTCTCATTAAAAAATATTTGCTTTTTCAGTCTAAAAGTGAAAAACACATTATTTCTATTTCAGGATAAGGATTTTTCCCCCCAATGTAGTGTCAAGACACAACTATGTATTTACGCATCCCAAAAGAAATAAGACTTATAAGGCCTTTCATATTTTAAAAAAATGAGCCTACTATGAGAAGGTAAAAAATGTTCTGTCATGGAAAAATACCAAGTAAGTCTCCTTTCATGTATCCATTCTCATGTTCTTTATGTTATACAGCATGCTCACTTAGAAAAATAATAATAGCAAAGGTACCAGCTATTGCATAACCAGGATCACACCCACATATTTACTTATATTTTCATTTCTTATAGAAAAATTTTATTTTATTTTTAAATCTCAAAAGTTTTTATATATTCATAGAGCAAGGAACTTAGAAATACTATACAAAACAGAAAACTGTAAAGATATAATTCAAAGTCACATGTACATCTCCAGTTCTTCTGGAACTTAAGGAACACCGTATCATACAGTTGAGGAAACTGAAATAACACTCCTGACCCAAAGTCAAGTGACGCCATTGCCATAGAAGTATTACAGAATTATAGAAGACCTTCTTTGGTCCTTTGCATGTACTTGAAATTGAGAGAAATTTTCTGTGATAGTATCTCAGAGAGTATCAAGATAGTTAAGAAATGGAAAATGTATTCTGAAATGCACTGTATTCCAAATAAAGAATACTAGGTTCAAAGTTCTCCAAAAAGCTAAAACAAGAGAAACTCTAAATAAAAGAGAAGGTATAAAATCATATTAAATATGTAAAAGCACACAATTGAACAAAACACACCTTCATATTATTTTCAGGTGTTCCTAATTCTATATTCATAAAACACAGCTTGAGTTTATAATCAAAATGCCCCATAAAACAGAATGGGTACATTACCTCTTTTCATTTTATCAGTAATATGAAAGAAAAAAATATATGGTAGAGTTAGTGGAAGTCAGAAAGTTATTTTAAGATGTGTAGTAGAGTTCCCTTAAAGAAAAAGAAAGCAGGAAATAGGAGAAAAGGTAGAGTCAAAAGCATATGAATTTTTTGGAGCTTAGCTTAGAAGCGCTGAAGACTGAATTAACCCAGAAATTGGAATTTTCTGCACTGAAATCCAAGATTAAAAAGTAGGCCAGGCACACTTAAGACTCTGAAAGTAGTAAAGCAATATTAACATGGAATTATTAGATGGATTTTGATTAAACAGCTGAGAATACATGGACATATATTACTGATATCACTTACATATCACTGCTAAAGCAATATTAACATGGAATTATTAGATGGATTTTGATAAACAGTTGAGAATACATGGACTTATATAAGACCAATTTAAATTCCTTAAATTTAGTTTTTTTGTTGCTTTGCTGTCATTCTTCAGGATATTTTATCTACTTATGACTGATAATCTATTACATTTCACAACCAGAGAGTATATGTACATGCATATATAACAGTTACCTAGGTTTTTCAGAAATCCAGTATTTCCCAGCTTAAGTACATTAGCTAAATATACTAACATACAATATTTGCTGTAATGCTAACTGCAGAGGTTTAAAATAGAGGAGTCCCATGAGCAAAGGTGTATGAGTAAACCTGGAAGGTATGCAGCAAACAGCCGTATCTGCTCCTCCGCAGTAAGGTAGAATGGGGGCCAATTACTTCACTTGGACATATCTCATGAAGGAGTGTACTTTGAGTATTTGGCTGCCCCTCTTTCTCTCTTTCTGTTATTAAGAATTTTTTTTATTTATTTACAAATCCATTAAATAATTTTTTTTTACTGTTCTTATCTAAAACCTTTAGCAAGATGTCAGTATGTTACAACAAAATGTTGAATAACAACCAAGACAACCTGTTTTAATGCTGCAATGCTTCTCATTCTTAACTGGACATCTTTAAGATAAGAAGACTCCAGAATAATAATTACAAGTTAAAGTATTTTAAGTAGAATGCTTTATGAAAAATAAAAATAACTTGGACTTCCAGCCAAGACGGAGGCATAGATAGATAATGCTTTGCTTCCTCACACAACCAAAAGAAGAATAACAACAACTTTAAAAACAAAAAACAACCAGGACTGCCAGAAAGTTGAACTGTATCGAAGTCCAGTAACTAAGGAGTTAAAGTAGAAATGTTCGTCCAGACTGGTAGGAGGAGCAAAAACCGGTAGCCAGGGTGGAGAGGACACAACAAGATACCAGCTGGCAGGGTAGGCAAGATGCTGGCTGAAGAACCAAGAGGTCCCACATTCATGTGCAGACAGATAGCGGGGCGTCGGGGTGGTTGGGGAGGGAAGGAACAACTGGGGACCAAGACAGATCATGCAATCCAGGATTCCAGCACAGGGGAAATAAAGCCTCAAAACCTCTGGCTATAAAAACCTGTGGGGGTTGCAGCCATGGGAGAAGCTCCCAGTCTTATAGAGGCATCTGTTGGAGAGACCCAAACCCTCCAACAGAATGTACACAGACCCACCCACCCAGAAATCAGCTCCAGAAGGGCCCACTCCATTGTTCAGTGGGAAACTGATTGAAAGTAGAGCGAGAGCCAAACAAGCAGCATTGTTCTTCTCTAACCTCTCCCCCGCCTACAGCACCAAAGCACAGAGAAGTGGCTTGCCCTGCCCTGGTGAACACCTAAGGCTCCATCTCTTATGTAACAGGCACGCTGAGACAAAGAAATATGGCCCAAATGAAAGAACAGATCAAAACTCCAGAAAAATAACTAAGTGACGAGGAGATAGCCAACCTATGAGATGCAGAGTTCAAAGCGCTGGTAATCAGGATGCTCACAGAAATGGTTAAATACAGACACAAAATAAAGGAAGAAGTGAAGGCTATACAAAGTGAAGTAAAGAAAAATATCCTGGGAACCAACAGTGAAGGGGAGGAAGCCGGGACTCAAATCAACGATTTGGAGCAGAAGGAAGAAATAAACATTTAACTAGAACAGAATTAAGAAATAAGAATTCAAAAACAAAACAAAACAAAACAAAACAAATGAGAGGCTTAGGAACCTCTGGGACAACTTTAAACATTCTTATATCCAAATCATAGGGTTGCCAGAGGAGAAGAGGAAGAGCAAGAAATTGAAAACTTATTTGAAAAAATAATGAAGGAAAACTTCCCCAATCTGGTGAAGGAAATAGACTTCCAGGAAGTCCAGGAAGCTCAGAGAGTCCCAAAGAGGTTGGACCCAAGGAAGCACACACCAAGGCACATCATAATTACATCACTCAAGACTAAAGATAAGGGAAGAATCTTAAATGCAGCAAGAGAAAAGGAGCCAGTCACCCACACAGGAGTTCCCTAAAGACTATCAGCTGATTTCTCAAAAGAAACTTTACAGGCAAGAAGGGGCTGGAAAGAAGTATTCAAAGTCATAAAAGACAAGGACCTACATCCAAAATTACTCTACCTAGCAAAGCTGTTATTTAGGGTGGAAGGGCAGATAAAGTGCTTCCCAGATAAGGTCAAGTTAAAGGAGTTCATTAAGCCCTCATTATGTGAACTGTTAAAGGGACTTATCTAAGAAAAAGATCAAAACTATGAACAGTAAAATGACAAAAAACTCACAACTATCAACAACTAAACCTAAAAAATAACAAACTAAGCAAACAACTAAAACAGGAACAGTATCGCAGATATGAATATCACATGGAGGGGGGGAGAACAGGGGAAAAGGTACAGGGAATAAGAAGCGTAATTAGTAGGTACAAAATAGAGAGACGGAGGTTAAGAACAGTATAGGAAATGGAGAAGCCAAAGAACTTGTATGTACGACCCATGGACATAAACTAAGGTGGGGAGGGGAATGCTGGATGGAGGAGGAGGCTGGGTGGAGGGTGATAAAGAGGAGGAAAAAAATGGGACAACTGTAACAGCATAATCAATAAATTATACTTAAAAAAATAAAAAATATATAAATAACTTAAACAAAAGAATTACTGAAGGTTTTCTTACCTCTGAACTGTAGTTACCAACTCCTTTTCTTTCTTTTTCTGGCATATTAACTGTGCCTCTTTCTCTTGACACTGTTTTTTTATCTCTTCAAGCTTTTTTTCTGTATCTATCAAAGTCTCTTGCAAATTCTTGTTTTTTTCTTCTAGAACCTGCAGCTAGTAAGAAGTTGTTTAAAGTTCATAAAACATGAAATATTAAATGTGTTTCTACTATATATTGTTACTGTGTTATCAAGGATTAACACACTATAGATAAAAATCACACTATCTTCATTTCATCTACTTAATCCTCTGCATAAAGAGAGCTGAGAGAACGGAATTATGGAGAAGAGGAGAATGGAGCCAAAAATTTCTAGGAGACAGAGAAAGTGAGTGACCTCAATTTGGGGATTTTTAAAAAATTTTATTTTTAATTGTGGCAAAATATATGTAACAAAAAATTTACCATCTTAACCATTTTTAAGTGTACATTTCGGTAGTGTTACATACATTCACATACTGTGCAACTAATTATCAGAACTCTTTCCATTTTTTTTTTGAAGTTTAAGCAGGAAGGGATGTCCCTACCTCTTCATTACAAAAATGGAATTATACAACCTGATTTATTAAATATATCACATATCATGGCATTCTTTTAGGATAATATACACACAGCATTTTTTTCAGTTCAATCTAAATATTCAATAGCGTGGATGTACTGATGAATTTAATCACTCCCCTACTGATGGAACCTCAAGTTGTCTCCAGGTTGTTTTTCTGTTTGTTTTGCGGGGGAGGGGTGCCACTAAAAATAATAAGGCAATAAATGTCTTTGTGGCAATGAGATCTGGTGTTTTGTTTCTGTGCAACAGAATTTTGCAAGTAAGACTGCTGAGTGGGGGATGGGGTAGGGGTGTGTGTGTGCGCGCGCGCACTTCATTTTTATGGTTCACACATTACAGTTGTCCCCATTTCCCCCGCTTTGTCCCCCAGCCAGCCCTCACCCCTCCGTCCCTCAGGCCATCCCCACACTGTTGTCCACGCCCATGGGCCATGCATCCATGTTCTTTAGCTAATCCCTGCACCTTTTTTCATCTAGTCCCCCCACCACCATCCCAACAGCTGTCAGTCTGTTCAACGTATCTATGCCTGTTTCTATTTTGTTCACTGTTTTTGTTCATTAGATGCCACATGTAAGTGAGCTCATATGGTATTTGTCTTTCCCTGACTGGCTTATTTCACTTAGCATAATAGTCTCCAGGTACATCCACGCTGTCGCAAAAGGTTAAGAACTCTTCATCTTGCAAAGCAAACTTTATACTCACTAACAACTCCCATCCACTTCTCTTCTCAACCCCTGGCAACCACACTTTGACTTTCTGTCTCTATGGGTTTGACCATTCAAGGGACCTCACACAGTATTTATCTTTTTGTGACTGGCTTATTTAACTTAGGAAACTGTCCTCAGGTTCATCAATCCTGCAGAATGTGTCAGAATCTCCTTCCTTTTTAAGATCAAGCAGTATGCATATGCCACATTTCGTCTATCCATTCATCCACTGGTGGACACAGGGTTGCCTCCACCCCTTGGCTATTGCAAATAATGTTGTAAGGAACATGTATCACATTCAAACATCTGTTTGAGACACTGCTTTCAATTCTTTTGGGTGGATACATAGAAGTGGAGTTGATGGCTCATATGGTAATTATATTTTTAATTTTTTTGATGAACTATCATTATTTCCCATAGTGGCTACACTATTTTGCATTATGACCAAGAGTGGAAAAGGAATCTAGCTATTTTTGCCAACACTTGCTACTTTCTTCTTCTTTTGCTATTAGCCATATCAATGGGGTATGTAAGATGGTATGAACCCATGTTTTAAAATCTATATTCTTTTCTGTTCCTGCTCATGCAAACTCTTGTCTTCCTTCTTTAGTTACCCTCTCTTAGTATCACAAATCATTAATTAAACAGAGAATGTGCTGTACGTCTAGAGCCAGCGGAATAATGACACTTCGTGGATTAGACCAATGATTTCAACTGGGAGCAGTCTTTCCTCCCAGAGAACATGTGACATTTAAAAATGTCTATAGACATTTTTGGCTTGCGGTAGAAGGAAGGACAAAGCAGTGCTATTGACATCTGGTAGGCAAATGCCAGAAATGCTGTTAAGCATCCTTTAACACCCAGGACAGAATCCTGCAACAAAAAAATTATCCTCCCTCAAGTGTCAATAGTGCTGAGGCTGAAAATCCCATGATTAGAAAGACTTTGAAAAAAGACTATAGGGTCAGTGGTTTATAAATAAGGTTTCAAGAGGAGAGGCTCGGAATTGGTAGAAAGGCTTTGGTTGTGGTATCCTTAAGAAACAAAAATGGTCAGAAAAGAAGTCAGAGGCGTAAATGGAGATCACAGAGTATAAGAAGGAATTTGTGGGAAAATTAAGAATATGAAGAACACAAATCAAACATCTGGAAAGATAGTCAAAAAAGGTCTTGTTCAATCTTGGTGGATTCCAGAGAATGTTGAGAGAAGTCAGACTGTGGTGCATGCATGTGTATGTATGGGGCAGGTGTGCCAGAGGGGTTTAGAAACTACGTTTAGAGCAGAATGTTAAGTGAGAGGGTTAACACACAGGTTCACTGGGAAGGTATATGAAAAACAAGGAAGATCTATTCATGGTTAGATGAATGGTTGTTAATTAAAGTTAATCCTAAAAAGAGCAATTAAACAGATTTAACTTATAATTAGACAAATGTATAACTAAAATTTTAAATTATAAAAATTATGAAATTTCTAAAACATTAACTTAAAACATGTTTTTCTTATAATTTATTTTATTAAATAAATTATTTTATTTCATGTTACCTGTAAACTCTGACTCTGCACATCATCTAGGGTTGGAAGATCAGCCAGATACTTTTCCAAGGTCTCAATTCTTCTCTGCTTTTCTTTGTTTTGTTCAGATTCCTTCTGGCATTTCTTTTTCAGGCTACTGATATATCTATCTCTGGTTTTAAGCTATAAAAAAAGATTACGAACCTTCAGTAGTTTGTGTCATTAAAAAAATAATAAAACAAACATTCTAATCTTAGGTATCACTAATTTCTCCAACAGTTCTAGATTATAGTTAATATCACCAACTCAGGTAAGATTTACTTTATTTCAATTCTAATACTCACATTTTTTTCCTCAAATTTTCATATCACTGAAATCAAGTTTTTGAAATCTTTGTTTTCTTTTACAACTGATAGCACCCTATAAACTGAAGTAAGCCAGGTAGCAGTAATGATGTTTTTATTGTATTTATTTAATGCAGTGTTTAATGCCCACATATGTGCAAATTTGGTCAAGGCTATTCATATCTTTGGCATTCCACCAGTGTTATGTACATGCTGAAACTATGTGCTGAGTTTAAATGTTATATTATAATTTGCCATTGAAAAAAGTTACTGGGTACTAAGAGAGATACAGAAACAGAGCCATGGGGCATAGTTTCGAAATCAGTGAAGCAAGTCATTCTCTTGAGGGATGAGTCCAATTCTTATTTCTTGCAAAGCTCTATTAAAATGTTTTATGTGAATCAAGAAAGGACGATACCTACAAACAGTTAAAGCCATTCTATTATTAATAAACTTTCAAAGGAATTGCACTTACTAAAATTATCAAATACTTAGGAACTGATAAGGGGACTAGCCAGACCATTCCATATCTCAATCAAGACTATTGTTAAGGCACTGTGTCATAATTAAGCTTGTGGCAATATGTTCTGAAAGTTACATAAAATAAAGGTGTGCCTGACTATTAATGTTATTTTAGGACTGATGAAATACATGAGTCTAGTAAATCCCACTTTGTATAGGCCATACCTCAGATTTATATGCAGTAATATTTTTCACCTTTGCATGTGAAAATACTATCTTTAAATTTCATCTTATATTCAAAAGTCTTTCATATTTCAGATCAATTAAAAACAATATGTATATATAGACACCTGCCTAAAAAGTGAACTCCAGACTCATGTTTACCTATAATTACCAGTCTTTCAACATTTAACATTCTTTTAGAAATTTACAGGGTTCTAAAATATTTGTACAGCTTTTTCCCATATATACCAGAGAAATAAATGCCAGTAATTAGTGTATAATGGAATAGTCCTTTCAAACTTTATTAAAGCTAACACTTATCTACAATCTAGTTTCTCTCATGCCCTATCTAATTTCTTTCAGGTCCAATGTATAAGAACTTTCATCAAAACAACTTCAACTGGAATAATGAATCACATTTCATTTGTTCCATGAGCAGTATCAGAATCCATTTATTATGTTGGGTAAGTAGCAAAACTGGTAAAGCAGACACACCCTATTACGTTCTCGGGCTTTCGAAGAATTAAAGGCAAGTATGCTAGTATGACAATTATGGTCCTGGTGGCGACCTGAGAGACCACATAATACAATTCCCTTTTTGAATATGAGACCTAGAGATCTTCAGCGACTTAAGTACAAGTCACAGAGACAGAACTGGGATTTAAACTTAGACTGTCTGACTGAACTTTAATGCCAATGTTCTTTTGGTTCTATACTACTAATAATCAGATTCCCATAAATTCTCTAAGGGACCGGCTGTGCCTGGATTGCACATCAACAAAGCCTACTTTTGCCTTAGCAAATAACCTTGTAAATTATAAAAATAAACAACTAACCAGCCTACTTTTACTAAATGTTCCTTAATTTACACTTAATTGTTTAAGTGTCTTAAATGTGAGACACAGTGATGTCCTCAAAAAGCAGCCCTAGAATAGGTCAGTCATGCAGTCGTCTGCTGTGCAAAGATGTCCTAGTTTTCTTCTTTCCCTTCGGTTGGTCATCCGCCTTCTTTGCGATCATGCCAAGCTTGCTGCCCTTGATCACATGGTTCTGCCAACACTCTCCTACTTGATACCATCTCTGTTATTTGTTGACAAGTTGATAAGCTACAGTCACTGGGTCTTGGGGTGTTTTTTTTCAGCCCTGCTCACTGATGAGAAGCTCTTTTTTTTTTTTTTAACTTCAAAGGTTTGTTTCAGATGAACAGAGGTTACTGAAGTCTCCAGTAATTACCCCCAGGTAAATGAGGCATAACTAATAAATTTTTCCTATTCTATTTATAAAAAGTTAGGTTTTTTCCTTTCCAGGGGGGTATTATGCAACACTAAGACCATTCTTTAAAGGCAACAGGAAGGCCCTATTTTAGAAGAAGTTAACAAACATTGATTTTCCTTTGTTTTAAATACAATTATTAGAATGACAAAGATTAGTGTGGAAATTTTTCCTTTAAATTCTTTATAAATCATTATTAGAACCAAAGCATCAGCTGTGAAGTTCAATTGTCTTGAATTTTACTCCTAGTTTTTAAAAAATTCCTATCTACATGCAACTAGACAAATTACTCATATTACTTTTCTCAAAGCTTAGGGTACCTCACTTTTTAAAATGGGGCCACAGTATGTATCTCATAGGGTTTTCTGAAGATTAGGGTTAAATAAGAAAATGCATTTAATGCATAGTAATAACATGCTGTTTGCAACATACAAGAAAAAGCTCATTAAAAAGTAACTTCAGCCCTGTGGTTTAATGGACTGAGTGCCGGCCTGCAAACCGAAGGGTGTCACTGGTTCATTTCCCAATCAGGGCATATGCCTGGGTTGCGGGACAGGTCCCCAGGGTGCACAAGAGGCAACCACATATTGATGTTTTTTCCCTCTCTCCCTCCCTTCACTTGTGTCTAAAAATAAATAAATAAATTTAAAAAAATAAAAAAGAAAGAAAAAGAAAAAACTCTCTTAAAAAAATAACTTCTATGATTCGGCTTATTATTATAATCACATTAAATGTGTGTGGAAAGAAACAATCCAATCCAATCTCATGTGGACCCAAAATGCTATTTAGATGATGCATTACCGTTGGGTCCATTTTCTATTTCGACACTCCCTTCAGGAAGGCAAGTCCTCTTGATGCTGCTGACACAGACTCTACCCTCTACATTCACTACCCTCCCCAAGTGTCCCTGGTATAGTCGTTTTCATTCTTAATTGCTCCACTCCACAGAGAGGCAATTCCTCTTCCTTTCCCAGAGTATCTCGTCCATCCTAGTATCTGTCATCGACCTTCCCCCATCTCTTTCAGGAACTTGCTCCCTCATGTACCCACTCCAATATCTTTTGATATCTCTGCCTAATTATTCTTTCCCTAATCCTTTGTGGGAGTTATCACACTTCCTTTCCTTCTCTCTTGGCAAAAATCACTTGAAACCACTGATTTATTCTTTGATTGGTTAATTGATTCATTCATTCATTCACTAAATATTCCAGGTGGCACATTCAGATACAATCCCGACTTCATGGATCTTACACAGAAATATTTTTAAAAACGATCATTCAAAAGTGTGTTAGGCACTAGAAAAGAAGAACAAAATGCTCTAAGTGTATCTACATCGCAAAGGAAGGGCTCAAGGAGAGGGAGACTTGACAAAATAAATAGGTGATGGAGGAGTGAAAAAAGAAGCCAAGTATTTACCAGACAGAGGGTACTTGATGTAAAGACCCTGATACCAGAAACAAAGCTATGTGTGCAACTGGAAGACACTGTAACAATGACACAATGTACCAGAAGGAGACTGGTAGAGCCTAAAGCTATATAATTAGGCAGGGTCTTTCAGGTCATGGAAAGAATTCGATTCTTATTTTAAAGACAATGAGATGGCATTAATGGGTTTTAACTAAGTAAGTGACGTGACTAGCTCTTCTTTGAAAAGGTTCAGTCCTCCACACTATCAAAAGTGGATTTGGGAGGATATAGGGCAACTAGAACTCTCACACATCTGTAGTGAAAGTGTTAAATGGTACATACAAACATGGGGGAGAACTTAGGAGTTTCTTATAAGTTACATATCTACTCTATGAACTGGATGACCCAGAAATTCCACTCTTAGGAGCTTATCCAAGAGATATTAAAACCTACGTATACAAAAAGTCTGGTATGAGAATGTTCACAGCAACCTCATCCATAATTTCCCCAAACTGCAAACAATCCAAATATCCATGGATTCTCTCTCTCTACTGAAAGGCAACTCAGCAATTGAAAAAAAAACAAACTACCAATACATGCAAGAATATGAATAAATCTCAAAGACCAGGAGTAAAAGAAAACAGACACAGAAGAATATACTGTGTGGCTCTACTTATATGAAGTTCAATAGATTCAAAACTATTTTATAATGATAAAAAAGTGTTTCAAGGAGGGAAAGGAGACTAACTAGAAAGATGCACAGGGGAACTTCTTGGGTGTTTGCAAGGTTCTGCATTTCATTTTAGATAGTGGTTATATGGGCATATACTATTAGCAATACTCATCAAACTGAACACCCAGGGTCTAAACATTTGACTATAATAATGCTTCCTATTTCAAAAATATAATTAATAAAATACATAGACTTATAACAAAAACAAAAAAAAGTCGAGGGAAGAAAAGAGCAGGTAGGCAGAACAAGACATATATAAATAATGCTTCAAGTTTAAAAAATATAACAAATAAAAACACATTGAATTACAACAAAAACAACAAAAGTGGAAGGAGATAAAGAGTAGATAAACAGAACAAGAACAGATTCAGAGCCCACTGCAAAAGCTCTGCCAAGAGAGGATAACTTGGACCAGGAGTTAGGAGACAGGCTTGACAGGCTTAGTAGTTTCTAGCGTAAGTAACTGAATATAGAGTAATGAATACTGAAGAAAATCTTGTTTTGTTTCATTTGAGAAGAATAGGGTAGAAGGAGGCACATTAAGAATTGTGTTTTGGCCCTGGCCAGGTGGCTCAGCTGGTTGAAGTGTTGTCCCATACACCAAAAGGTTGCCGTTCAATCCCCAGTCAGGGCAGATATCTAGGTTGCAGGTTTGATCCCTGGTCAGGTGCATATGGGAAGCAACTGATCAATGTTTATCTTTCACACCGATGATTCCCGTTCTCTATCCCTTCCTCTCTCTCTCTCAAATCAATAAACATATCCTCAGGTGAGGATAAGAAAAAAATATTGTGCTTTGGACATGAAAGTTTGAAGTATTTTTAAGACATTGATGCAGAAGCTGTCAAATATGTAGTTAAGTGTATAAATTGATTGTATTAAGCACTGGACACCAAAAATAATAAAAGAAAAAAATTTAGATAAAATACAAACATAAATTTTAAAACTGTATCCACTGAATCATCATAATTTTAACACAATCTTATAATTAACAAGTCTCAGGTAAGAAAATACTTTAATCACTCCCACATCTGCACAATCAATCAGTAAATATTTCCTTAGCTCCCTCCAAATTGTGATACTGTATGAAGCCCCCAAAATACACAAAAGAAATAACAAGAAGCAGGTACTTAAGGTGCTTCCAAGTTAGCGAAGTAAAAATGCATCATACAATAGAAAGAGAAACCATGTAAAATTTTTGCCAGATTTTTTTAAGATAAAAATTTTAACTCAAAATGGTGATGGGAGGAGGTTTGACTTTGGGTGGTGAATACACAACACAATATACAGATATGTATTATAGAATACCTGAAACCTATATATTTTATTAACCAATGTCACCACAATATATTCAATAAAAATTTATATATGTAAACACATACAACACACACTCACACAAAAATGCCAGTTTTTAGTTATCTATTAATAGCGCCAATCTCCTTGCAGAAATCATGGTGACCTGCTTCAGGATCACTTGAATAGAGGGTTCAGTTAATAGAATAAATTATATATATCAAAAGAGAAATTTAAAATCAGTTCTGCCACTAAGTAGCAGCTTAAGGATCTGTGCCTTGTCAGTAAATTAGGTCTAGCATGTATCTTTATTTATCTTTAATAATATTATAAAGGAATGAGGTGAAATATGTAAAAATACTTTAATATAGGCAGAACAGTCAAATAAAGTACAGATACATTGTGTACATATAGGTATTTAGCTTTTAGCTACTTATTCTGAAACAGGTGCTTCAGCTTAAATAACTTGAAGTCATTTGTTAATGAACGAAAGACCAGCTTTATTTCATCTACCAATCCTTCATGCCCAACATGACAAGGAAACAGCACCCAGAAAGAAAAAGGAGAAACAGGTACTGGTTTCACATATTAGTGCAGGCAATGAACTTTAAAGTTTTCACTATTAGAAAGATGTAATATACAGTGGTATTTTTAACCCTCAAGAAAATTGCTGATTTTTCTAAGTAGGGTTACTCTAGTTACTAAAAAGCTAATTGTCCCAATATAAATTTATAGCCTGGTATGATACCTGGCATAGAGCAGATAACAGACAAATAATTATATGTTGAAGAAATGTTGTTGACCTAATTTAACTTTATTAAAAATACCTACCTTTTCCTCTAGTTTCTTCTTCTCTTCACTAAATTGGCTTATTCTTTGTTTGAGAAACTGATTAAGCTGTAAAACCTCTTTCTCAGAAGATGCAAGTTTTTGCTCAAGTTCTTCTTGCTGGGAACTGGACACTGACTGATCTGAAAATGGAGCCTGAAGTGAAGTGTTTTCATATTGCGGCTATGAGGGGAAAAAAAAAACCAGGTAAGACTTTATAAGTTGACTTGTCTTTCTGCTCCCATTTCCCCCACTTTGCCCACTTCCACCCACCCCCACCCCCCTTTCCCTCTATCTTGGAAAGGGACTTTGCTTGAGATGTTGGGCACACAATACACTGTGCAGATGATGTTTTATAGAGGTGTACACCTGAAATCTGTACCCCAATAACCTCAATTTAAATTTTTTTTAAAAAGTTTACTTGTCTAGAACAAATGGAAAGAAATTGGAAATGAGATATAGTACAAAGAGTACATGCAGGCTCTAGCAACAAACAGAGCTTGATATAAATTCCTGCTCGCCAGCAGATTAATAAAGTATCACACAGAAAAAACGCAATGAAACTGTCAATGCGCTAAGACAGTTGTTATGTGTAGTAGCTATGGGAAGGCTTTATAGAGTCACAAATATATGCCTCTATATAACTTGAATGTAGCCTTGAAGAACTGAGGCTGTCCCAAAGGTGAAGATGCAATTCAAAAGTCATGTAAATAGCATTTATCATGTGCAAGGTATGTCAAGGTGACAGAGTCAGGCACTGTCCTTTATAAACTCAAATCATAATTATAGGCGTAAGAGAAATCCTTATATAATCATCTGTACAATACAATGTATTGGGATAATATGGTAGGCAAAGAAAAGCCATCTGAAGAACGAAGTGTCAGGAGGGGTGAGGATAGATGATGACAACATTGGGAAAATGAGGAAAAAGGTCTGACTGGGGAGGTGGCTTTTGAAATACCGAGTTTGAAAATGAGCAATATTCTAGCAAGAATAGATAAAAGAAAAAAAAAGAACATTTTAAAAAGACAAAACATGGAACAAATGTAGAGAGTACCCATGTCATTTAAAGTATAGGTTACAAGAGCAGGGAGTATAAAGGAAAATCTAAAAATCTAAATGGATCATATTGTAGAATTGCAAGATTCAAAGTTTAACCTTAATTCATAGAAAATGGAAAGCCAGTGATGGTTTCAGAAGAAGAAAGTAATATGATTTCAGAAGACTGTGAACTATGTTTTATAAATTCCCTGGCTTTTTGGGGTAACTTCCTGGCATTTTATAAATTCCCTGATATTTTTTAGCCTAGTGCATAGATGCTCAATAATTTTTTATTAAAAGGAAAGATTTTTTAAAATGCTACACTGCTGGAAGCAGTGGGCAGGGTGATTACAGGATAGAGCGACTAGATATGACTATATCATTTTAAGAAGTTACCCTAACCTACGTAGTTGGAAAAAATGAGGAACTGATGAAACTCTGGAAGCAGAACTGAAAGAATTTAGAGCAAATTCTTTTTTAAAAGGCAAAGAAACAAGAAATGTTTTTAAAAAAAGGTTTGAGATTTTGAGTCTACGCAGAGGTCACATATGACAACAGGTCTAGGTAGATGCACTTAATTACAATTAGAGCCTATTGACATTAAGACACCACTTGAACATACAAGTACAAATAAACACAAGACAGAGAAGTGGGTCCAGATCTCAGGAAAATGGCTATGCTAGAAGACAGTAAAAAGTTAATACAGATAGTTTCCAACCTGGCATGTAATAAGCTTAGAAATTGCCACTTCGTCTGTTTTACTAGTTAAGAGCTGAAAATGAAAATTCTACAACTCTTCTTACATCTGTGAGAGAAGTGAGGTCATATGGCAAACTATTTTCCCCAAAACTGGAGAGACAGGTGAACAGAAAGAATCACACTTGCTCAAACAGAATCCTCCATGGGAACCAATGTTGGGGTAGGTAACTGATGAATTGATGAGTTGCTGGCCACTCAGCAGGGACAAGTCTCCAGGGGGACCCAGTCATAGAGGGTCCTCAGCTTTTTGAGTTTTACCTCCAGGAGCTTACCAGGTCCTCACAGTAAATATTAAGAGAAAATTCCCCTCAAGCATCCAACAGAAGGAGAAAAGGAATCACTTAGAAATACGCCAGAACACTCTGTTCTTAACAAGACATGATCTCAGGAGAAACTGTTGGGCCGGCCAAAAAGTCCAGTATATTTTTTCCATAAAATAAAAGACACATATTTTTCATTTTTACCAATAACTTTATTGATTTGGATACTTTGAGTATGTCGTCTATCTCTTGCAATTGGTTTCTAGTGGGTAGAAGCCAGGGATGCTGCTAAACATCCTCCGGTGCATAAGACAGCCTCAGAGCAAGGAATTATTTGGCCAAAATGTCAATAGTACCACGAAACTTCACAAACCACTTTTGACATGCTCGATCAGTCACAGAACGTTCTTCATACACTGCACAAATCTTTTTCTGTGTTTCAGTTGCATCGAAATAATAAAGCATAGTACACGGAAAATGTTGCATATTTTCTTTTATCTTCAATATTAAAATGGCTGCACAAAAATTCACCAAGTTTGATTTTTTTTTAAATGCATGCTGATAGGACAGCTGTCACAATACAATCTAACAAAATTGTTTTGAATAAAGTTAAGGACGACTCAAACACTGCTAGAGCCATTGTATGGAAAAAACATAATGGACATTTTGGCCACACCAGCATTTTACCAGAGACTAACCTACCTAAGAAGGTTAGCTAGATGGGAACTAACCTACCTAGAAAGAAAATACCTAACTCCAGCTACCTCTAGCCTTGCACATCAGGTAGGGAAATACCATCCTGCCCCTCCTAAGGGTGGAAAAGAAAAAACAGAGAAGCACTAGCAAAGCTGACAGTCCCGGAGTACAGGCCCACTAAGAGACTAAGGCCTAATCCAAGAAGACAGAATACTCTTCTTTCCACACCTTACCTCTACATGACTGAAGGCCTACTTCCCACATTTCCTTTTTTCTCAGTATATCAGGTCCAACTTTATGAAATTTACAAAACACCCTAAAAGAAAAAAACAGTCCAGAGAGACTGAACAAGCACCAAAACCAGTCAGGTATGTCAAGAATACTGAAATTATCAGAAGAGAAATTTTTAAAACTATGATGAATATCTTAAGGGCTTTAATCTTAAGGTAGATGAAATGCAAGAACAGGTGAATAATGTAAGCCCAGATAAGAATATTCTAAAAAAGAATAAAAAATAAATTCTAGAAATCAAAAACGCTGTTAACAGAAATGAAGAATATCTTTGATGGGTTCATCAGCAGACTACACACAGCTCAGGAAATAATCTCTGAGATAGACGATATCACAACAGAAATGACCACAAAGAAAACAGACTGGAAAAAGTAGAACAGAGGATATAAGACCTGTGAGAGAACTACAAAAGGTGTACCATACAGGTAATGGAAACACAACAAGGAGAAAAGAGAGGAAGAGAAGCAATATTTTGAAACAATAATGACTGAGAATTTTCCCACATTGTCAGAGGCCACACCTCAGACCTAGGAAGCTCAGAGAGCACCAAGCAGAATTAATGCCAAAAAACTACATATAGGTATTTAAATTTCTGAAAATCAAAGATAAAAAAAATCTTAAAGAAACTAGGAAAAAAAAACCACCATACCTATAGACAGGCAAAGATAAAAGTTGTATCTGACTTCTCAGTAACCATGTAAACAAAATGAGAGTAGAGTGAAATATTTAAAGTGTTGTTACTAAAATCCACTGACCTAGAATTCCATACACTGTAAAATTTACCCTTCAAAAGTGAAGGAGAAATACTTTCTTAGACCAAAAAAAAAAAAAAAAAAAGAGAGAGAATTTGCTGCCAGTAGACCTGCACTGCAAGAAATGTGAAAAGAAGTTCTTCAGACAGAAAGAAAATAATATAAGTCAGAAACTTGGGTCTATACATAGAAAGGAAGAACATTAGAGAATGTACAAGGAAAGATAAAACTTTTATTTTTTTTAACTGACCTAACAGATAACAATTTGTTCAAAATAATAATGCAACAGTACATTCAATTATATGTGTGTATACTTCTATTGCATATAGAGATAAAATAAATGACAACAGTGATATGAAGCAGAGGAAGGAAGATTTAGGAATAGTTATTTTAATAAGGCACTTACACTATCCCTGAAACGTACTAGACTTGCACTGGTTGTAAATGTACAGGGTCTGGCAGAAGTAAGGCCTGCTTGAGTGTGATTAGGAGGGTAATAATATGGGTGTAATAATTTCGAGTTTTGATTTGAACATTTCACCTAAAATGTCATATGATATGCTTGAGTGTGATAGTTATATTACAGAATTACATGCTTATGGTTTTGCAATTAAAAATTTTGTAATAAAAAAAGGGGTGTTACTTATGCCAGACCCTGTATATTGCAAATCCTAGGGCAACAACTGAAAAGAAGATTTTTTAAAAGCATAGTATATATACTAAGAAAGGAGAGAAAATGGAATCACATAAAGTGCTCAATTAAAACTGCAAAAGGCAGAGAAAGTGTGGAAAACAAAAACAGGAACAAAGAACAAGGGCAACAAAATGGCAACAAACATGACAGATATTAATCCAACTATGTCAATAATCACTTTCAACGTGAATGGTCTAAACACACAACTGAAGAATGGCAGAAATAGAATGAATCCAAAAACAAGACCCAACTATATATTGTCTAAAAGAACCCACCTTAAATATAAGGACACATACCGATTAAAAGGGATGGAAAAAGACATGTCATTCTAACATTAATCAAAAGAAAGCTGGAATAGCTACATTAATTTCATACAAAGTAGACTTTAGAGCAAGAAAAGCTATCAAGTATCAAAAGGAGCATTACATAATGACAAAAGGGTTAAAACTTCAAGAAAGCATAAGAATCCTTAACTTATACGGGCCTAAAAACAGAGCATCAAAATATGACTGTGGGTACAGCAAGGACTTCTGGATACAGTACCAAAAACATCATCCATTAAAAGAAATTGATAAGCTGGACTTCATTAAAATGTTCTGCTCTTAAAAGACAATTATCAAGAGAATGAGAAGACAAGCTACAAAGAAGGAGAAAATATTTGCAAAAGACACATCTGATAAAAGAAAGGAA